TCAGCCATATTGCCTAAAAGAAAATTTAACAGGAAAACGTGCATGCTAGATATAATTTAAAGAAGGACAAAACATTACCAAACTGGAAGCCAAATTCAGCAAAAAGTTTTTTTAGAGAATTAAAATAGGATTAAGGATAACAAATTTGAGAATTAAAATAGGATTAAGACTATTCAGTAACGATAAATTAAAAAATTTTCTAATCTACTAAAAACAGTTAATTGCAACATAATACTTTTTACACAAGTTATATAGTTTTCACTATGCAAAGAAATTACACCTCTAAAAAGTAACATCCTGTCAAAATAAAAAATGTTGCCTCATGCCATGTGATAGATTATGCCATATTTATAATAAATTTTTGGTACGATGATAGTTCATCACAGCTACTGTTATTAAGTACCTGAATCCATCATCTATTCTAGATCTGAGAAAAACATTATCGACAGCATGCCAAAATCACCAAATCTAAACTTTCTTACTGTCTTCATCTTTATTTTAACCTTTTGTTTAGATGTTTTGCATCAATCCAATAAGTTCCAAATAAGTCGGTCACAAGACAATTTCTCATGGGTTGCAAAAAGCCCTAATGTTTTCTTTCTGTCTTGTTGTACAAGGTGTTTGAAAAAAAGATGAATACAGGTTTTGATTTCCTTAAAAACTATTCTAGGCATGTGCTTTCAATGACAAAGTTCCAAAATATTTCTTATTGTTAAAAAATCTATTTCAGTTTTAAATTGCAAGAGTAACACTGCATTTTGCAAATGTATAGCAAAGCTCAAATTTGTTAATTCAGAATCTAAAGAATGAATGGTAATCTTTTTATTGTTATGTTTTTATTTATAAATTTTAGGTGAAAAGAAGATACCTCAAATATTTGCAACAGTAATTACTAGATATTACGAAAAAACAGGTCTATGATTTCAAAAGGGGGAGAGAGAAGTGCAAAATGAACAGGGATCATTATGCAAATGGTTCTTGTAAACTGTTTGTGCAGAAATGTGAGGAAGAAACAACTGGATATTGGATATTGAGCAAAAAATAATAATTTTGTCCAGGACTATGCTTAGCTGTTACTTTAGCACTGGCAGTATTGTATAAAATTGATCTATCAATACTAGAATACCTAACATATCCTAGATACAATCACGTATAAATTAATTACAGTAAAAAGTATAGCAAAGAAATTTACCTGCAAATTATTTGCTCTCTTCCCATTAACAAAAATAGGATTATTCACAAAATTGCTGTATTTCTGTATGACATCTGAAAAAAAGACAAATATCAGTTAAATATAAAGAAAACCAAAAATCTACAAGAACTAAAGTTCATTTAAAAAAAAAAAAAAAAAAAAAAAACAGAACTGTGGTTTGCACTACATGTGTTGTGATTAGTCTTTTTTTTTTTTTTTTTTTTTTTTTTTTTTTTTTTTTTTTTTGTGTGTGTATGCATATAATCAGTACTTTTTTGAGGAGAGGGGAGGAGAAGAAAACAATTAGTCTGAAAATGCACCAACATGCTGTTTTTTAATGATATTAAAAAATAATGGAAATGGAATCTCTTCATCAATGTGTTTGTTATAACAGCAAGTATTCAATGCCCCTACAAAGTAATATTCACAATCACTTCACTACAAGATGTTATTCTTAGGAAAATGGCAGGATCCAAGACTAAAATGTGCAACAGATCCAAGTTTCCTGAAAAACTGAAATTTTGTTTGTTTACATCCAAAAAAATTAGCATATGTTATCAGAATTGTACTATATTATGGATATTTCTCTATCAAAAGTCAAACAATATTTCCTTGCATATTTTCCCCCTAGCTTTTTGTAGTGCTCGTTTCTAAAAATTAAAAAAATATTCATATTGCTTTCCACTTCCCCTATTGTACATAGTTTTCTCTCTGAGGGCTGGTTAATTGATAAAATGTATTGATTTGATAATTTTTATTTTCAGTGCATTCAGTTTGCATTTGCACTTTTGTATTGCATTTCATCCATTTTATTTTCCTTTGCAATTATTGTTTCAAACATATTTTTTGCATATTCTACATTAAGCTACTACATTCCAGCTCATAGCAGCCTTATCTACTGGTGATGTGTTCGACCTTTTGAAATATCGGTCTTTTGTTTACCTCCTTCTCCTTTGTTCCTCTGATGTCCCTCTTGGGAACTGCACTCAAGACTCATGCATGTGAGCACGCTCCCTCCATAACCAGCTCGATAAGAAGCCAATACAGCTGGAGAGCATGACAAATCCAACTCAATCACTCTTACATACTGTAATGTTAATACTGTTACATATTCTTATTGGACCAAAAGTTTCATTTAAAGAAATAATATTGTTCATTTGTTATTTTTCTTACTGTTACCATGTTCTTCGGAAATTAAATTACTTACATACTTGCCAACCTAAGACACTCAAAAATCAGGAAATTTTTTAAAAAAATCAGGAGAGTTTTCTCAACAACAAAAAAATTTTTAAATGCTAGATATAGAAAAATATTTTTAATAATGAAATAAGCTTTAAAAATAACTAATTAATATCTGAAAGTTCAACTATTATTTCTTAAATGCAAATGCTGCAATAAAACTTACATGTAAAAAAAAAAAAAAAAAAAAGTTTTACTACTTGTACCTTCTAATAACAGAAAAATACTCTACTCAGTTTTCCTATCATTAAATAATACTTTAAGCAGATCATTAATCATTGATTGTAAAACATGAACTAAAAAATTGTGTTAAGAACATTGAATGATGGCAAAATGGAGCGTACAAAAATGCAAAAAGCTCTGTTAAATTCCGAAGACAAAAAACATAAATATTCGGTCTTCACAAGATAAACTTACAATAATTAGAAAATGCGTCCCTTGTCAAGTGATTTTTTTAAATTTTATTTAGGGAGAACTTTATGCTTATATTTTGTAGTATTTATTTGAGAACTGCTAATCAAATTGTCCACAGATGCAGAAATTAATTTTTCCCACACTATTTTTAATAGTGGAAGTATAATTACATCTCCATTAAGATATTATATAACTTTCAACAGATTCTTTTTATCTTAGCTCTAGAGGCATTTACTTCTTTCTTAAAAAATATAAGGAGTGGGTTTCAATGGTCGAAGATTTTAGATAAAAATTTCTCTAAAGATAAACAGCATGTTTCAGATTTTTTACTTATTTCAGTATTATGCAACTGTTGGAATTGTTAAAATTTTTTCTTCCTTTTAGCAATTTTTCCAAGTTAATAATAAATATCAACAATTTGTTCATTCACACTTACTGGCAAAGAAGCTGACCGTTTTTCATTGCTCGGTTTAAGAGGTGACACATGCATTTCATAATTTGCAAATATGAATTTTCTTTTGCTAAGATGCCTGCAACATCAATCTTCAAGCCTACGATTCCGAGCGCATTGTCGACACTAAGAGCTAAGCATTTATCCTGAAGAATTGTACTTTTTTTTAAAGTTTTAATAATTAGCTGTGCTATATATTAAAAACTGCTGAATCTCCTTCAAAAATGAGGCCAGAAAGTAAACTATACTCAATTTCTGAAGACTCTGGATTAACAAAAAAGAAACAATATTGTATACATTTTTGCATCGGTATTATTGCTTCCATCCATAGAGAGGCAGAATGGAATTGTTTTAATGCAATCAATATCTGAAGATTTATTTTTCATACCAATTTCTTCTACAACTGCAGCCATTTTTATCCTTGTACTTGAATATTTCTTAGTAATTTTACTGTCATGAAATTGATGTATTGTATAGATGTATTCCTTAGTAATTTTACTGTCATGAAATATTTTTCTGAAACAGCTGCAGCATGTTCCGATGCATTCAGTGACAGGTAAGCGCTTCAGTAAAAAGGTAGAGATGTCCTTGTGTACACGCACATTTAAGAACATCAGCCCTTCCACCGTGTGAAATAAAAAAATCACAATGACAAATGATACGCATTGCAATATTATATTTTCTTGCCCAAATAATAGAAGGAATGTCATTGTATATGATTTTTGAAAAGTACATGAATATTTTACATTTCTCGCAGTCATAACTAAGGTAAAAGATCGTAGTTTCTGGGAAGCACATGAAACTTAAGGTGAATTCAGTTGTAAAGTTCGATTTTTGTTGGGCCATAATATAATTCTCTGTAAGAGGCTGTCAACAACTTATTGTATCATTAAAACTTCTCAGTATAGTTCTTATTACAATCACATTTGACAAAATGATTACCCAATTTTGGGCTGTTCTAGATCTACATTTTACTAAATCTGCATTTAGAACTGGATGATTTCCTTCATTACCATTACATTCTGTAAGACTAAGCATCTCGGGCAACCTCTAATAGCTCATCTTCACCAAGGGCTTTGTTAATTAACAATTTATAAATATCTTCAAATGACAGATCATCAAATCCTTCTCAACTAATATTATGTGTCATTGCAATAATGTTAAAAAATTTGGTCATATTAGGAATGATGAGATTTTTTCTTTTTACTCACTGCGGCCAAATCCCTTTCCAACATGCAATCAAAGTTGCTAGTTTAAATTCAGTTAATGCTAATCCAACTTGAGTTAATGCTAATTCACACACCAATGAGTTTTAATGTTTCATTTTTTAGCTGGTCCAAAATATGTTGGAATGTTTGTTTTATGTAGTATGCTTCAAATGTCACAATATTACCTTAGCTTGGAAGTTATAACAAAGATGTATTAGCTTTAGGTAGCAGAAATAAAATCCGAACATTTAAGTGTTCCAAGATAGGACTACTATGCTTACAAACGAAATGTTTCTTAGAATTAAGCAATAATAATAATAATCTTAGAAATCGACTTCTCCCGGTTAATGTTAAATCAAAATGACAAATATAAAAAGAGAATTAAATATTTTAAATTTTTATTAAATCAAATTAGTGTAAAAACAAAGTAAGATGTATTACTTTTTAATACACTTATTTAGTCATCAAATCCAATTATTATTTGCATGCTACAAAACAATAATTCATGTGCATAACTAAAAAATAGAGTAAAAAATCTAATTTCCCATAAACCTATAATCTAATAATACCTTTAATAGTTCCTTCATCTGCAAACTCTCTGCAGTCAGATTTTAGATAAACCACAATTTTTGTTCCAGGCTGAACACCATCAGCTTCCATTATCTCATAAGAACCAGAACTATAAAACAGGTTTCTGATTCAGCAAAGCATATGTTTCTGAATTTGTTTATAATAAAAAATGTAAAATATTCATTTATAATTCAAAAAGCAAAAGAAATATTAATATCAGATTAGCACCAAATATTTTTCCTTAAAAAAATATACATACATAAGGGCTCTAACTATGATGGAAGACTTAATTAGTTTTATCAACTTATTAAAAAATTAATAATTTAAATAATTTCACAGTCCAAACCTACCTTTTTGATTTCTATGAACACTTTACAAAATTTCTTCAATATTTTATAAAATTTCATAATATTTTTAACATGATTGCTGCCACTGGCTCCTATCAGAGTAACATGGCATTATAAGCATATAGGGTTTTTACACACTTTTGCATGTTGGAATTAAGGACTATTAAAAACTGATGTCAAAATTTAGAATTTAGATTATTAAATATAAAAAGTAATAAAATAAACTAAATTAACTTAGCTAATAAATATTTAATTAGCTTATTAATTAATTAAAATAAAATAAATTTATTAAAATTGAGAACTATTCAAACTGTTAAAGGACCATCAATGAAAAAACTAAGGACTTATCACGCAAATAAAAACTAAATTCAGCAGCATAAGCAGCCCTTAGAGAGCCATGGCAGGCAGTGCCGATATCTGCTTTCTAGGCTCTGGGAAGCTTGTGCATCTTGCCTGTCCCTGTGGTGCATCTTGCTCTGTTTGCTATCTGACAAGCGATCATCAAGTAAATAGGAACTGAATAAACTAAACCAATTATCTACACTCGAACTTCACTTTTGTCACAGCACTTTTGCAAATTGTAAGAATAAAATAAATCTGTAAGTACGATACATCATTATTAAACATCCTATTTAATTTGATTATAAAACAAATTCAAAAATAAAATTAAATTGTTTAAAGTAATTAGTATGAAATTATAAAATTTGAAACATTTATATTTTACACTTATAATAATCCCACATATTTTAAAGAAGATTAGTTGCTTTTTATTTAAATTTTACTAAAATTAAGCTTATATTAATTCTTTTTCTTATGCCTCATTTCAACACATGCTTGCTTAGTTCAGAAGTAAGTCAAGTTATGTCAAGTTAAACAGTGAAGTAAAATAATAATCAGCATAACTCATAACAAAAGACTGGCTGTTGCCCCCACAGTTAGTTGCTTAGAAACAGACATTCACTGATCAGAACAGATGTAAATGCCTGACAATGGTAAGCTAGTTGCACTTTGTCTAACAGAACCAGTGTCATAGCTTCATGTAGATTTACTGAAGTTATAACCCAAGCAATAAAATTCCAATAAGCCACTAAAGAACTAGAGATGATACGTTGTTTTGTATTATTTTAAGTCTCATTAGCTGTAAGTAATAAATTTTGTGCCCCAAAGGGGTATTAGCCCAGAAGGGCTATTAAGTCTCAAAATGGAATTTTGCATTGAATCACCATAAATGGCTGTATCGCTTTTCAAATTCTTGCCATCAAATATTATGGCCCTGTAATATATTTAAAGAAATTAAATAATGAAGAATCTGCATAAATGGGTGTACGTTTCTCCCACTGTGAAAAAACAATACCTAGAGCTATTAAATTTTGAATAATGTAGTCCTCCACCCGATTACAGGCACCTAGAAGCCCGAATCTTGAATTTCGAATTTCTTTTATAATCTATTTCATATTTTTAAATTTTTAAAGAATTTTTTACTAAGAAACTCAATGACTTAAAAGCGAGTAGTGGCAACACACTGTATGGAATAAAATATTTTATCTTTAGGACAAAAGATTGCCTATCCAAAATTCTAAACATATGCTGTTTTCAAATATTTTTAGCTCAAAGAGGCATTAACCCAAATGCTCTCGAAACATGTACGCATGAGTAAATGATTAAAAAAAAAAAACACTCTCTTCGGCATAATATAAATCTGAAAGCTTTCCTACTTTTTTAATATTAATTTTTACATTTTAACTTTAATTTTTACATACAAAGAAAAGGTTTTCCCCTTTTTACAATAGCAGGAAAGAGACAAAAGCACACAAATTATAAGTAAAAAGACTGGGGATATAAACTAAGACCATTAGTACAATATTTTAAATAATAATAGCAGGAAGGAGACAAAAACACACAAATTATAAGTGCAAAGATTGGAGATATAAACTAAAACCGTTAGTACAATATTTTAAAAAATATCATTCTTTAATATACAGTAATAAGGATTTTTTACATTTCTTTTTGTTTTCTCATAAAAATGTTCTGATCCTTTGTGATTTACCTGTGATAAATAGAATTGTTATAACTTAGTATATAATATTATGTTATGTAATAAAAACATGTTAACAATTTAATAAATTATCTTGGAAAATAATAATTCAGCATCAACTCGAATCAGAGTAAGCAGCTGCTAGCAATATAAAATTATTGAATGTTGTTATCAATGTCACCATCTGTGATCAGACACACATTTTTCTTGAAAATTATATTTTTCTATTAGGGCCACAAATTGCATTAAATTTTATGAAAAAGTGTTATTGTAAGAGAACTTTGTACATTATTCGAACAAATCCTGATTGGCACAGGCAACAGTGATTCATATCAAAGGACAGTGAATGTGTTGGCATATTTAAATCTGCTTTATTATGTGAAAAACTGCAGGGGAAAAAAAAAAAAAAAAAAAAGTTATCATGAGTTATGCAAAGGAACACAGACTTTTTTTAATGCAAAAATTCCTTAACCAAGTAATACTGAAGATGCACGTATTTGGAAGCTAGTAATTTATTGGAACAGCATTTAAAAAATAACACACTAAAATAATAATAATTTAAAAAAAATAATCTAAAATAAATTGCAGTTTCCTCAGATGCTTTACTGAACCATGTAATCATTTAATAAACTAAATTTTTACAATTTATTAATAAGGAACAAATGTTTTACCCATCAGACACCCATCTATATGCTTTAGAACCTGGCTTATGAGACAAAGAATACACTTCCACTTTTTCAGCAACCATAAAAGAAGAGTAGAAACCTACACCAAACTGGCCAATAATCTTATTGACTGCACAACTTGTTGTCTCACTTTTCTTTAGCTCTTCCAAAAATGCCTAAAATTTTAATATGAAGATTTATTCATAGGCATCTAAAATAAAGAAGCTTAACAAAAATTACTGATTTAAAAAAAATTTATTACAGGTTAATAATTTGAACTTTCTAAATGAAAAATTTTAATGTTTTAAGCTTTACAATATATGATAACATTAAGCAAAATCTTTTCTAAACATCACAGCACTTAAAAATAGATAATATGTTTAAGATAATAAGGGCCCAAAAAAATTAATCAGCTAAAAACTATGACTGAAATTTTTATATTTAATCCATCAAAAATTTGTTTGATACGAGGGCAATCCCAAAAAAAAAGGTCTCCTATTTTTTGGGGACGTAGAGAAAGTTTTAATATGGTTGTTGGCAACACTGTTGTGAGTGGTGCCTTTTCCGCTACCACATAAGCACGCAGGCGCTTCGCTCGGATGCTCAGTCTTGGCTTGGCAGCCATTCGAAATGGAGCTCCCGATAAACATTACCGCCAGGTGCGAAGTGCAAGCAGTTATTCGATTTTGAACGCAAAAGGCGTTAAACCGGTTGAAATTTACCGCCTATTGACGGAAGTGTATGGACAGTCGTGCATGGATGTCAAAAACGTTCGCAAGTGGTGTAGAGTTTCCAGCCAGTCGTACTGAAATTCATGACGAAGAAAGGAGCGGGAGGCCGTCAATTGCCGACGAGACAATCGTGAAAGTTGAGTAACTCAGCTTTCGTGATTGTTGAGTTCGTATTCGTTGAGTTCGTAAAATGCGTAAAGATCGGAGAATCATCTGGATGCTCCTGAAGCTCCTCAACACTTCCTGAAGGGCATGGCGGCAAGCTGGTATGACATGGGCATTGTAAAACTGCCACAGCATCTACAAAAATGCATCGACCGAAATGGCGATTATGTTGAAAAATAAAGCATTCTTCAATCTTTAAAGTGATGTAGCAATTATAGAAAATAAATGGTTCTTTGTATATCTAAAAATATAGGAGACCTTTTTTGGGGATTGCCCTCGTAGATGTCGCAGTCAAATGCATTTAAATTTCAGAAAAATCCTAATTTCCCATTTTTTCTCACTTTTATAACCTTACTTCAGATAAAAACTAATAATATTAAACCAGTAATTCTATTTTCAGTACTATTATTATTTAACACAAACTAAACCCAGCCATGAGTAGGAAACATTTATAAAAATTACTTGCATAAAAAAGATCCCAAAAAATTTAATCAATACTCTTTTATAATATGAGAATGTGAATTGGTTTTCTATATGAGCTTCTGCATTCATCAAACAGCTCTAGTGAGTGGGGAAATGGGGAAAGGAAAACAAGATTCCCTCACAAATTGCATTAAAAACTGAAAATTAAAATTGCTAACCTTTGATCCAGATCTAGCAATTGTTCCAAGATTGCTAATCATTTCTTCTTTAGTCATTCCAATTCCTGTGTCCTGTGAAAGACATTTTCATAAGTTTTAAAAAGCATATTAGTCAAAAGATTTATTCTTTAAGCAGACAATAACTAAACAGACTAACTTATTTCAGGAGATTATTAAACAGCAAACATTAAGAAATGCAGTGCAAAAAAAGTAAATGCAGCGTTAAAAAGATAACAAGTAGTCAATCCATTTTAAAATTATGACAATTTTGAGCAACACGTTTTAAAAATTATCACAGCTTTTACCAGCAGAGAATAAAAAAATTGAGCAGATATTATTAAAATGCACTTAAATTTGTACCTTTGAAAAAAATCAATGTTTTTACAGAAATAATTACAAAAGTCTGAAGTTAAGTTATTAAATAATGATCTTTTTCATTCTATTTAATACAAAAACACTTGAAAAAATGTATATTCAACGACTTTTGACTGTATATATATATATATATATATACAGTCAAAAGTCGTTAATTCAGACACCCATAATCCGGAATGATCTATAATCCAGACCTCAAAGCTACAAACTTTCTGCGCATGCATCGCTTTGCCGCATGCGCATAGGCGTTTACACATGCGCGTAAGACCTTTACGACTGCGCATAATACGTTTATGCATGCGCGTTTAATTTATAATGGATGATATAAGCTAAAATTATCTAATTATCTATTTCAGTTAATGTTGCAGATTGCATTGTTCCTTAATCTTCGAATTGGATACGGCATATTATTTTTTGCAGACTGTTAGAGCAATTTTATAAAAGTAAGCTTGAACTTTCGATTATGTCAAACAGAATTTCCGATGTTGGAGCTCCCAAAGGATCTACAAAGCAAAAGTATGTTTCGATGTCCATCAAACAAAAAGTGGAATTGCTGCAAGAAAATGGATAAAAGCATAATCCTTTGTTTCTCTAACCATTCCGAAATCTGTTTATCAATCTCACGCTGCTCTGCGGTGGGGGGGGGACGCCGCAGCAGGCAATGAATTGGAAGTTGATCTGTCAGTGCTACCCTTATCTTCAGGGCAGATGTTTTTATTTTATTCGGCTTATAATTCCTTACAAAATGTAGTATTTCATCTCGATGTACTCCGTCTTTGATGCAATTTAAATAAAATTCCTCGTCATTATAATTCATTTCCGATAGTGAAGAAAGTGACACAGAGGTTGCTGAAAATGAAAAAATTTCGATTGACAAATTAGTCGGTATTCTCGACACAGCAATTATAGGACTTGAACAGCGGAACTTTGTAATTGAACAAGAAATTATATCTGTTTATAGAATTAAAGAGAAAGTATTATCACATAAAACGAAGCAACTTAACTTAAACAACTTACATTGAAAGAAATGTTTAATAAAGTAAACAAATAAATCTTAAGCTTTTTTTTTTTTTTTTCTTTTGTAAATTTTGATACCCTTTAGATCATAATTGTTCTTTATTTCATAAATTACGGTTTCATATTTTTAATTTTATAATTTCTGCATGCTATCTTACCAGATTTAAACTGATGATCTATAATCCGGAATCGCCGAAGTCCCGACGAGTCCGGATTAACGACTTTTGACTGTATATATATATATATATATATATATATATGCATGTGAGGTTCCTTTAATTTGAATATCCAGTAATTTTTTTGTTTCAAATCTATACTGGCATTCTGTTTTCATGCCAGGATGCAAATTACTTTGTATGTATTTAAGTGATGTTTTAAGATTGTTTAAACAGAACATGTTCTGCCACTTGTGGCCAGGTTACTAGATTTGCCATTTTAGATAAAAATCCCTGTCTCTTTCTGGGTCTATATATGTGAGTAAATATATTATACATATAAGTACACAAACACAGGCAATAAATACAAGCAGGTTAATGAGACTTGTAATTTTATAAAATTTATCTGTTTCATATTTTAATAACGTATTTATTCTTATGTACTCTTTTTCAACATATACATATAAATTCTAATTTAATTATTACCCCTTGATAAATAAATTTTGAAGCATACTGTATGACTTTCATAATCTTAATTTCTAAATTCTTATTGTTTATAAAATAGATAGCTTGATGAAAATCAAATGCTCTCAATTGCTTAACGCATCAGACTGCTTAATCATAACAATACTGCTTATGGAATCAATTCATACTGACAAATTTCATTAACACCTAAAAAGATTGCTTTAGCAAATAATACATAAGCAAATGCAGTAAGGAAATAAACGACCTTAATAATTCTTTCTCTATTTACTGTGCAAATTCTTACACACATAAAACTTTTATGATGAATGTAAATATTATTTATTGATTCCATAAAAAAAAGTGGTTTTCTTACATATTATAATATATCTAAAGGATAGTTAGTTAGATTGTGACATGGATTCTATTATAATGGTACAATATTATTATAATATATGGTACACACGAAAAACTGGCCCCATGTGTGCACAGCAGTGAGATGAGCCTATAGCTAGCTCATCTAACCGCTTTATTATTGCACTTCAGCAAAGAATCTAATAATGAACACTAATGGTATGCAGGCAGGCCGGTTTTTCGTGTGTCACTCAAAGCGATTTCATTTAGAGATTATAGCATACATACTTGTATAGTAAATGTCCTAGCTTGCTTGTCTGTAGCTATATGAATTTCATGAGGTCTATCCGGGTCTATTCCTGATTCTCCACTAATCAGTTGGGCATGCCTAAGCTTCTCTAATGCATCACTGGCATTGGAAATAAGTTCACGAATAAATACCTGAAAACAAAAACAAACAAAAAAATAACTTTCTCTCCTTTTTTTTAATAGTTTAAATTGCCTTAATTATTTACATTATATTTTGATTCAATTTTATAATTTTGCTCTGAAATCCAACTCATCAAGTGCATTTGTTTGAAAATTCAGAAAATGTATAATCATTTTTACTACTTCAATTAACAGTTAATCTTAAAAAACTGTATTGCATACTTAAGTCATTATTGGATACTCTAAGAGAATTTTTTATGTAACTTCATAAAATTCTAAGAAAAATAACTCTTTCTTAAATCTAATTCCCTCACTTGACAATAAAAAAAGTTTTGCAATAAAATTTTGAGATAAAGTTAGTAATTTTAACAAAGATGTAATACTAAACAGGAACACAAAAGTTTAAATAAATTTTAAGAAGTTTCTAAAAGCATTTTAGATAAATGGTTTTATTTGCTAGTGCATACAAGGCAGTAATTCATTAGATATCAATGCAAAATTTGAGGGGGGGAAATTCACTTATAACTGAGGAGAAGAGTATGAGACAAGAATAATAAATATTCAGTTATGAGCATGATTTAAAAAAACAGTTGATAGTGAAATACTAAAATGCAAAGCAATTTTTCAGTTATGCTAGTTGTAACCATAACCACAGTGATAAGATTCAGTCTGCTCACAGTGTTCAACACAATTTTTCCTTCAGATACTTATAGTTCGGTAAACTGACTGCTAAAGCTGAACGGAAATATTTATTTAGGCAATTTATCACTAGTTAGTTTAATTTAATTTTGATTTAGGTAGCAAACATTCAAAGGGTTTTGAAATTTTTTAATCTCATAAAACATTTATCAGAGAAAGATTTGACACAATAGTTTGCAATATATTCTGAACATACATAGATGAAATCATGCAAAAAGCATAAGGCAGTACATTGATTGATAATGATTAAGATCAATATGAAACAAATGATATAAAACATAATGCATAGTTCTGGCAAAGTAGTAGATTTGATTTTAAAATAATTTATGTTTCATTATTAGGAATAATTTGAATTATTAATTTAAAATCACTAACACAACAAACATTACACATTCTGTTAGGAAAATTAACCATGTTTTTGAATAAAAATGCTTAAAATCATGTATAGTTTAAAAATGGCTGAAAAACTGTAAATATATTAGAATACCTCTTTGTCAGAATAGAGGGATTTTGCAACTATATCTAACAACATTCGTGTTTCTGCTTGAAATTCCAATTTCTCAGGAGTTCCTGAAAAAATGTTTAAATCAGCATAAGATACAAATTATAAATTACGTACTACTGCAGATACATAAATATTGTTTAAAACCAGAAAAGCTACAAACACAAACCACTTACCCGAATGCCTATTAGACACAATACTCAGTAAAGGATTCAATTTGCAAATTTTATGCATTTATTGAATTAATTTCATTAATGCATTTGAAAAAATACAGTCACAGAGAATTTTTTATTTTCTCACATTCATTAGTAGTTCTAATTTGTCTGTTCTTTTCCATGTTGTATCTATATATTATCAAACCGGTACTATTCAGTTTCGAGGGCCGTAAAAAAAATTTCAGCAAAAATGTACGTGCAAAAGAGCCAAATCTAGCAAACACGCCCATTTAACAGAACGCCAAATCTATTGTACGCGCTGATTTCAAAAGCCTTCAAAAGAGGACATGTCGTTCTCTTTCTTAAAAAGAATAAAAACCCACAAGACCTAAGTTCTTACCGGCCCATCTGCCTCCTCTCTGCTTTAGGCAAGATTTATGAAAAACTCCTCGTTAACAGGCTCAAGCACCACCTGCACAGAATTAACCATCTCAGCCCCCGGCAGTATGGATTCCGCACAGGATTTTCCACGACACATGCCCTTTACAATATTCAGGATACAATACTACGCAATAAAAACAGCGATATGCACACAGCCTTCATTTCTATAGACCTAAAGAGTGCATTCGACACCCTCTGGTGGCCAGCAATTAAGCAGGCCCTCAGAGGAGCACACTGCCCCTCCAACCTATTCAACATCTTCAACAGCTACCTCCACGACCGCCATATTCAGTTTGTAAATATCGACGGTACGACATCCAAGGTACAAGAAAAAGGTTGTCCGCAGGGGTCCTGTGCGGGACCGACACTCTGGAACCTCACCTTCAATTCAGTCCTTGAAACCAACTAGCCACAGCATACAAACATCACTGCTTATGCAGACGACGTAGCCCTGCTCGTAAGAGGACGCACCAGGAAAGAACTGGAACGCAACAGCACAGAGACCTGCACCTTATTTACCACCGCATGCAACAAACTTAAAGCTCACGATCTCCATAGGAAAATCGTCAGCAATAATAATTCCTAGACGAGGTCGAGGTACCAATCCAACTCGTCGTCCATGCATAAAACTCCTAGGCCGAAATATCAAAATTGTGCGGAATCTCAAGTATTTAGGGGTAGTATGGGACCAAGGTCTCACTTGGATTCCGCATATCATGGAAACCAGAAACAAGACGTCAATTATCGCCCGCAAGACAATTTCAAGGTCGCAACTGGGGCCAAAATCCCCACATCCAAAAAGTGCTATACCTCACAGTTGTAGAAAAAATAGCTTTATACGCTGCAGTGATCTGGGCGCAGCCAATGGGTACTCGCAAGATCAGGCAACTTACAACGCTACAACGTCCCTTCGCCCTGCAATTAAGCAAAGCCTACCGCACAACCGCCACCAGTGCAGCAACAGTTCTAGCCGGCATATTACCACTCCATATAAAAGCAGAGACGGAGGCAACTTTAACTAAATTGATCTACCTATGCAAAGATGCTACTTCGCAAATACCAGCTACAGTCCAGTCCAGTTCGAACGTCCCTCCACTTCTACCCATACTCATCCAGCTCTCAGAAGAAGTGGAACCCACATCAAAATTGACAAGCAACAGACTCACACCTCGACACACGCACCACGGAATGGGAACCAGATCTACACAGACGGTTCAAAGCAGGAGAATGGTGTAGGCAGTGCTTTTGTGCACTATGAGAATGGCAAAACTGTACATGACTGGCAAGGACAACTTCGCACTCACAATAGCATCTTCCAGGCAGAAGTACTGGGAATTACGGCAGCAGTGCAACATCTCATAGATTGCCAGATCCCACGAGCAAATATCTATACCGATAGCCTTTCAACTTTACTTGCACTTGAGAACCATCATCATGTCTCACCTCTCATACTCAGTCTCCAACATCTCCTTATGCAACACCATTTCAATCTAGTCTGGGTTAAAGCCCATGCGAATAATGAGGGCAACGAGGCTGCTGACACGTTGGCCAAAGATGCAATTTCCAACCCGACAGCCCAACTCATCACCGTACCTGCGCCCTGCTCTTATCTAAAGGGCCTTCTAAGAGAGCAAGGAATGCACCAATGGCAACGTGAGTGGACCGAATGCGAGACAGGCAGACGGACTTTCACCTACCTCCCGAAAGTTTCCGCCGATCGACTCTTTGCCGTAGCACCTCTCACCTACTTCATCACGGGTCATGGCCCGTTTCCCAGCTATTACAATCGCCACGGCATCTCAAATACAGATATCTGTGTCTGTGGATCAGAAGGGTCACCAGACCATTACGTATTTGAATGTCCTTTGACGGCTGCACACCATCTTCCGCTACCTACAAATAATAGGAACGCCTATCACCGGTTCCTTATAACGCATAAAGGAGCGGTTAATTCAATCTCCAGCATCATGAATACCATCGCGGCATTGGGCACAGACCTTTGCCTACCATGCTAAAATGACGCTATGGTGTACTGACGATAAGCTCTAAGACTAGTCCAGTGAATTTTACAATATCTGGGCTTCACCACAATTGTGTGTTTAAGCTCCCCTGCCCACAATCTAAAGTGGCAATACTAACAATTCGCAAATATATGGCATCTCCTTAGAGAGATGTGTTATGCCTCCATAATGATACGTGTGTAATCCCTTCAACAGCATGTGAACAACATCTTCTTACGCAGTGTTAGTGAACGCTTGTGTGCCTCACGGTGCACACATTGCTGGGGCACTGCCCAATAATTAGTGCCACAACATCCTCGTGCCTTTTATCAGTGTTTTTATCTATGTTCTTAGCGATGCTACAATAATCAACTCCTTAGCAATCTAACCGCACTCTTCCTCTGCACACATGAGTATTCATGAACTCATCATTCATCATTCAAGATGTACTTGTATTTATATCCAACAGAACTGCCTTACACTAACATTGTGCTCCAGCTTTCATGTGACTTCATGTACTCCATTTATCTTTTTGTGCCTTAAGTGACTATGTGTATGTACCTGTTTTTTGTGCTCTCTGTTTATGCATTTTATGCATTGTGCTTTGTGTATTGTTGCCTATGCAATTTTTTTTTTTTTTTAATGCGTACGTTTTATTATCCAAGTATTTTTAGTTTAACTACCTACTATCTGTAACATTACAGCTTTCCTCTTCAAACTGTAATACAATCCTACTAATGCCCTTGTAAGGCCATGTACTTCCCTTTGACAACCTCAATAATCTCCTGGTGCAGCCTCGTGTGGTTCCAGGAAGCTTTTGCCGTAGTTAGAGGAGGGTTTGGAACACATGCCTGTTTACTTCTGTTAGACACCAGGCGTTCCAGTCCTCCGTAACCTACCTACCTACCTACCTACGCGCTGATTTCAGATTGCGTAAGTTTATATAGTTTTATATTTCTTAAGACCCATTGAAATACTAGTTTAACTAATAATCATTTTTTGATTTTAAATCCTTTTTTGATATCCTATGGATTTAACAATTTGCGAATTGCCCATGACTAAAAGTCGGCAATAGAATTTTAGATAAAGTACAGAATCACCCACTGCTTGACGCGTTTATAAGAATTGCACATACTCGGTATCAATGTGCACATCGATCTATTTTCACTTAAAAAAAAATCCTAGAATTGCATAAAAATGGCACTGCTCACAGCCTTGGCTTTATCTATGTACACATCGACCTATTTTCACTTAAAAAGTAAAAGAAAATTGACAAAAATTCAATTGTTTTTACCCTTGTAAAAAGCGGCAAACAAATAAGTGAGCGATTCTGCACTTTACCGAGAATATTTTCAAAGAAAAGGCATCATTCATTATAGAAAATTACGTTTGAACAACCAACGAGATGAAATTATGCTTTAGCGATCAGTCGGTAGCGAAATAGCGATGCAGGCATCCATTCAGTTATGTTTAGCAATTTTTATGTAAATTATAATAATAAAAAAGCATTATATGAAATTAACCTTTCATCTAAATTAAAACATCAATCTTTAATAGTTATTTACTATTATACTTCGTTTCTTGCTGCAATTATTAGGGTTGCAGCAATTATTTTCGGTAGCATTGGCATCAACAATAGTTTGGCGATTTTTTACGGCCCTCGAAACCGAATACAGTCAAAAGTCGTTAATTCGGACCTCAAAGCTAAAATCTTTCTGCGCATGCGCCGTGTCGACGCATGCGCATAGACGTTTGCGCGTGCGCACAAGACCTTTACGACTGCGCATATGCATCTGCGCAAGCGCAGAATACGTTTTCGCGTGCGCGTTTAATGTGTAACGGACAGTATAAGCTAAAATTATCTAATTATCTATTTCAGTTAATGTTGATGATTGCATTGTTCCTTAATCTTCGAATTGGATCCGGTATTATTTTTTGCAGACTGTAAGAGCAATTTTATAAAAGTAACCTTGAACTTTCGATTATGTCAAATAGAATTTCCGATGTTGGAGCTCCCAAAGGATCTACAAAACGAAAGTATGTTTCGATGTCCATCAAACAAAAAATGGATAAAGACATATCCTTTGTTTATCTAACCGATCCGAAACCTGTTTATCAATTTCATGCAGCTCTGCGTGGGGGGGGGGGGGGACATCGCGGCGCGCAATGAACTGGAAGTTGATCTGTCAGCACTATCGTTATCTTCAGGGCAGATGTTTTTATTTTATGCAGCTTATAATTCCTTACTAAATAAATTAAAACATCAATCTTTAATAGTTATTTACTATTATACTTCGTTTCTTGCTGCAATTATTAGGGTTGCCACAATTATTTTCAGTAGCATTGGCATCAACAATAGTTTGGCGATTTTTTACGGCCCTCGAAACTGAATACAGTCAAAAGTCGTTAATTCGGACCTCAAAGCTAAAATCTTTCTGCGCATGCGCCGCGTTGACGCATGCGCATAGACGTTTACGCGTGCGCGCAAGACCTTTACGACTACTTTACGATAAAATACTGTAGTATTTTATCTCGATGTACTCCGTCTTTGATATGATTTAAATAAAATTCCTTGTCATTATAAATATCACGAATACAAATCAAATAGTTTTCTGGTTGCAATTTTCTAATTTCGGCTATGCGTAATGTATGCTTTACGCATGCGCGCGTTGAAAGAAATGTTTAATAAAGTAAACAAATAAATATTAAGCTTCTTTTTTTTGTAAATTTTGATACCCTTTAGATCATAATTGCTCATTATTTTATAAATTACGGTTTCATATTTTAATTTTATAATTTCTGCATGCCATCTTACCAGATTTAAACTGATGATCTATAATCCGGAATCACCGAAGTCCAGACGAGTCCGGATTAAAGACTTTTGACTGTAGTACCATCAAACCTTATTATTTTTACAGATTTTACATAGATAATTTTAGTTAAATAGTTTTTTTGGGGGGGTCAGCATAATGTAACATAAAAACCTAAAGGAGCAAAGCCTGCCAGAAAAATAAGAATACAGGGGCAAGTTTATTTAACCTTGAGTAAATGGCCATCTTGTTAATTTGGCGATATATTGCCAAGCTGCCAACAGTTGTGGGAACTAATGTTCGTTGCTAAATATGGCAAGAAATCCCCAAAAGTCGCCAAACGACAGGTATCACCATAATAGGCAGAGTAATTGAATACATCACTTTATTAGCTGTAACTGTAATATGGCCCTCATACTGGCTTCCAGTAATTTTGAGAAGCAGAAAGTACTAGAAATATCTCAGCAGCCAGATGAAAACTATATAAGGCCAGAGAAAGCATCTGGTTTCAGTTTTTGTTGTTGGCTATTATTCACTCTGTTACAGACCTGTGCAGACACAACATTATGATTCCATCTTGTGTTCTTAGGATCTGTTTAGTTATTACTGCTATCTGCAGAATGATCCTTTTCATTTTCTTGAGGAAATATGTCACAAATTGATTGCAGTGACAATTTTGACAAAGCAAGTGTCTTTTTACTTTGCTAATTTAATAAAAGACAAAATTCACTTTCGGATACTCAATTCATTAAAGGAAAAAAAAAAAATGTTTTTTTCAAATGTGAAAATTAGCTAACCTCCAACAGAAAAAAATTTCACAAAATATCTTTTGTCATTTTTTACAGTTTACTGCATTTTTAACTAGTTTCCACAATTACTAAACATTAAAATAGCTATTCTACAATATTCTCAAGATAACAGGAACACTTATGTTAAAAACTAAAATTTTATTATTTAATAACTATGCCAAAAAATTTTAAGAGAATTTGAACGAAAATTTCAGAGTTCATTGAAATTTGTATTCGAGAAACTCAATGTACATTCAAAGAGAGGAAAAATCTGAACAAGATTTTACCTTGATATTTTTCTGTATCTTTGATGATAGTATGATAATCTGGATCTTGTGCAGGCTCCTGCTGAAATAAATAACTGCATGTTTGGATATATCTACCAGTCTCTTGATGAACTAAAAAAATAGATATATAAATAAAAATATATTATAACTAATATAATGCATAAAAAATTGAAAACAATAAAACTGGGACTAATGCAACAACCCATTTAAATTATTGGAAAGTAAGTAAACATTTCACAAAACAAATTTCAAACACCTTTCAATATTTATAAAATAAATTTCAAAAATCTTTAAGGAAAAAACCATAGCTCCCTAACCGGACAATATTATAATTGTAGACTTTCATAAATGTAGTATCTACCTCAAAAGAATTTTGGAATAATGAAGACAAATCCTTCTCCCTGTCCAAAGACATTTAGTGTTAGATAATATTGATATCACTCAAAGATAATACGAATTACAATTTTACAATTTCTTGCCATAAAAAACCTTTTTCCTGAAAAAACCATATTTAACATGATTTTATTTTGAAAGATATGCTCATCTGCTTTCCAAAACTGAAAATTCTTTTGAAGTGTCTTTTATCAAAACATATTGATTTTAACTCTTTCATGACCAAAGTGCCCAGGACGGCCTACCATTCATATCACTAACAATGGATGGAAGGGTTATGATCTGTTTCTACCCATACCCGGCTAATCTTCGGAATATGGTAACAGGTAGTTTGGCGACATTTCGGTAAGGCGATAAAAGTTACTAGCTAGGACTTTAGCAGCGTACATGGATAAAGTCAAGAGTGTGCGCAATGCTATTTTTGTGCAAGTCTGGGATGTTTCTTTCAGTGAAAATAGGTCGATGTGTACCCAGAGGCGTAGCTAGGGTTTTCGGCGCCCGGGGACAAGTGACGATTTTGCGCCCCTTTCTCTGTGCCAAGAATGGGAAACATTTCATTCTAAAATTTCGTAACATCAGTTTGGCGCCTCCTGAATGCTGCGCCCGGGGACAGATGTTCCCCCTCGCCCCATCCTAGCTACGCCACTGTGTGTACCGTGTATGTGCAATACTTAAAAACATGGCAAGCAGTGGGCAATTCTGCACTTTCTCCCAATTTTGCACTAATCTTCATCATGATTAAGCAATTTTATTCCATAAAAGTTCTAGCATACGCGTAATTTGGCTAGCAGATTGTTGGAAAAAAATGTTGAGTTAAAAAAAAAAATGCCTTTACTTCGTGAAAACAAAATGGCATCCAAAAAAAAAACTAGCAGGTTGCTGTAGCAAGGTTGGTCGCCAAATTTTCGCTAAAAAATCGCCAAGTTACCATAATCCAAAGATTAACCCCATACCCTAAAATGCAGTTTCCCCAAATGTAATGTATCAGTTCATCTTTATTGTCTTGTTCTAAAAGGATTCTTTTACAGTTCCTTATCTTTAGGCTTGGTGCGGACTCAGTGACTTAAAGCCAGTTTATACCTGTCTGAGGACACATAGTGAGCCCCTCGCTACAATTACTTTGACAATGTAAACGCTCACTTCGTCCGAATAGAAACTTGGAAAGATGAGCCAGCTAGTCTGTTTCTACTTTGAGCCAGTTTAAAATCTATTCGGGCAGTAACTCCGAGCAGTGTTCGCAGAGACATAGTGCCCAGTGTTTTGGTCATATCGAAAATGCCGAGATGAATGACAATTTAACTGTAGCATTTCTTAAAGCATCTTGTGAAGTATTATGAGATACTTAACTACCTGAATATTACGACCATTGTTTATCAATGCCTAACGTGGATATAACAACTGATCAGAATGAATTTAGGTTTTTGATATTGTAGAAAACACATAGAAGAAAATTAAATTAGAGTATCGGATTCAAAATACTTATTTTAAACATATTTATTTCTGAATTTTCTTCAATAAAAAAAAATAAATTATATGCTATTCAACTACCAAATAAAATAATTCAACTACCCAATAAAATACAGGTTTCAATTAAAGAAATAAGTGAAAGGGCAAACATTTATTTTGTTGATATAAATTTCGAAAAACTAATTTCTACTCATGGCCAGTTACATCTAACAAAACATAAGCTAAAATTTTGAAATTTTGTTTATAGACTTTCGTTTTTATTTGAATCACAAATTAGATTTTATTTACAATCAATCGAAAGTAATAAAATAAAAATCACTGGCAGGAGGCGTATGAGGCTATTATTAGCATATTAAAATTTGAGGATGCTGGAGAGTTCAAGTAAAAGATTAATAATTTTCGCTCAACCTCATACACAGGAAATGGCCTCAAACACTTCTGGAATAAATATGCTGACTGTAGATTTTGGCACTCGAAATAAATATTGCAGATAACCGTAGCAGCCTTTTTATTTTGCTAGCAGAGAATCTCAAAAGAATTTTTTTTTTTTTTTTTTTTTTTTTTTTTTTGAATAAGTGGAGTGACCATTTCCAATAAAGTTTCTATCCTTCACCCATTCTGATGAAGTTCTTGTAACTTTGGATATCCTCGCCCCGAAGTTCATTTAAAAGTTGATTTAATGCTCCCAATTCATCACGGCGAGCTACACAGTAACGATTTGATTTCCTTTTCTTCTTCTTTTTTCATTCCCTAGAACAGATATTAATATGTTGGAAACTGCTTTGCAAACTTCAAGCACAGCAACTTGCACATCGGTATCAATTTTGCAAACATACGGAGGCGAGTATTATACATGAATGACATGGGACAGCATACTTTACAGTTCAATTATCTAACAGATGGTTTATAGCATTTTTTCATTGTTAAATGTTACAGCAATTAAAGCTACAATTAATTTTCTATCAATTAAAAAACATCCTACTTTATTTGGTGGTTTTGTCTAAAATCCTTAGTAATCAAACTTGTAGAACAGCTCACTAACATATAAAGTCAACAGTTAATATTTTTATTAAAATTATAAAATAAACTCAGTACTAATGATCCTAATATTCAGCCATCTGCTAAGTGGACTGAACACATGCATAAAAAAAAATAATGTGTGTTTAAGTAATAGGGACAAAAAGATTTTTTTTCTCTAAAAAATTCAACAAAACTATTGTATGGAATATATGTGCTCAATATACAGTGCAAAGAAAGAGTAATTATTATACTTTACTTATTAAGATTGTTTAAATATTATTTTTAAAATCTTTGTTTTTTAATGAAATGAAGATAAAGTCTCATGGTGAAAAAAGTTACTACTAAAATTGGTGCAAGATGCCCAAAGCATATTATCGTGTTTGTCAATTCAGCATGTATTCTTGCAGGTTAAAAGTAGTTTAAAAAAATCTTTACATTAATTTTATTACAATCAGGTTAAGCAATTAATACCTAAATATTATTTAAGTAATGTCTAAAATATTAGCCCCTAACAACTTAAATAATTTATAGCTGACTTTCTCCATAATTCTTTCCAGTCAGCAGCCAATTACAAGGCGAGCTACAAGTGTGCCATCTGGGAGGCTAAGCTTAATGAAGCATCAAATGTATTAAAAAATTAATTTAAATATACTTTTTTCTGTGTACTAGCAAAATATCAAATAGCTCAAGATGTCTCCTCTCTAAAATAATTGCTATCAATTATGCTTAGAATTAAAGTGGTGGTGTATTTAATTACGGCAAAGCACACTAGGGCTATCTGCCTAAGGGGAGGGATGCCTTCGTGGAGGACTTTCTGAGGGGAACTGGCTTGTATACACGTTGCACATGGGGAAAACCACGAAAACGCCCATGCAGCCAGCCCGTTCGCGGGATTCGAACCTCGGACCGAACTACCAGTGTTCAGCAACTTTACCGCTCGGCCGCTGGTGGGCCGCTTAGAATTAAAGAATTTTTACAAAAATTGTAGATGGATTATGCAAGCTCTTTGGAAGGTTCGGAGTAAGACAAAGCACCAGTAAAAACTTTCCAGTTTTGGAAACCAATTCATATTTTGACATGGAAATATTCTATAAAGGTTGTAATACACATATCTGCTCATTTCTCAAAATATTACCAAATAATCTGGGGTGATGACGGTATGCTGCACTGATGCGCAACTCTATGTAATAACCAGTGTTGGTTGTATTTGTTAAGGTTGCATATCACTTACTACATACAGAACAAAAATATATTTAATATAAATCTATGAAAAGTTTCCATACAATACATAACATTGAAGGCAGAGAAACGATTATTGTGGGTTACTGTCCTCATTATATGAAGGTCTTGCTAGGGGGAAGAAACTCTAATCAAAAGTTTATGAATATCCGTAAATCTCGCCTTGCCTAAAACAGTTTGAAGACTGAATTAGTCGTGCCCTCTTAATTTTTCAGTTGTATTTTACATCTTCTGTTTCATTATAGTTGAAATGATATCAGAGGAGAAACAGGATCATTGGTCCATCAGTCCACCAAAAATCAAGAGAGACGCAGTGCAGATTGCTAAAATCCCTTAATACTGGCCGTGAAGTTATGATTCTTAGGCTCTATTCTTATATGCACCCTAAGATCATTAAATTTGGCAATATGTGTTCTGCGCTGGTTTTTGGCACAATGCCATGCTGTGGGATGGTTTGGTGGACGATGCTGTTTGTATGGCAACCCTTTTGACATTGAAACTTAGAGACATAGTGGCAAGATTTCAGTCGCGTATTTTAGATTGTGTGGAAAGTAAATTTAGTATTAAAAAGTAGGATGTTGGAATTGTTAACGAGTCTTTTGTTCAAGAGTTTGTTTATGAGGATCGAAGCATATTTTTGGAATTTCTGTGAAACTTTTAAACGGAGTCCGAAATGCAGAGCTGCGATGAGAACTCGGATGAAGAAGGGCATTTCTGATAGTTCTTGTGTGTATTTGCAGTCAAATGCTTGCTGGTAAAGTATGTGGCTGTCAGCGGGAGTTTAAGATTTGGATTGTGGTTTTCATGTAGTAAGTTAACTTTGGAGGAAGTTTTTATCATTACTTTCGAAATTTCAATTCGCAGAAAGACATGTGATATAGCAAAACTGTGGCACTTTTGTTGACAGACGTTGTGTGACTGGCGAAATTTTATTCACATATGTATAATGGTAAGTGCATTTTATTGTTTATATTTTGTAGAATGTTATGTTCATTGATTTTTTACTATGAATTTCTGTTGTTATTTGAATTGTTTGTAATTTATTTTAGTTATTTTGTTGATTTGCGCAATTTTTTTTTTTTTTTTTTTTTTTTTTTTTTTTTAAGTTTAAACAGAATGCTGTGTACATGGTATTCTTTGAAATTTATTGTTGTTATGTTAATTTATTAAAGCGAGGTGTACATGGGTTCAGAGATTTTTTCTCTGCCTAGATTGTGCAATTCGCAGATTTTTTTTAAGTTAAAACATATCGCTGTGTTCATGGATTCTTGTCAAATATTTTTGGTTAGAAACTTTATGTTTTTGCTATCTAAATTTCTTGTTTTTGTTTTTATCTTAAATTGTGTGTTCAAAATATGTTTTTTTTTTTTTTTTTTTTTTTTTTTTTTTTTTTTTTTGAGACATTTTAGGCTTAAAGTTCGAAATGTAGACAAAAAATTTAGATAGTAATATATGGCACCGTAGAATTTCTCGCCAAAAATGTCTGACAAGAAATTTGGCGACCTGAGGGTACATACAAGAGTAGTTCCGATTCTTATAATGCCAAGTGGAGCCGTAACTGAACCAATTACTGCTTCTGCAATGTCAGAGGCTGTTGTCTCACACTACAACTTATGAACGACCACACTCATGAATTTCTTATCTTTATGTGGTTCATCACGTCTATAATCTTTTTTTAACATTAAAAATGATTGTATGAAATACCATCATGTTTTGATCTCTATCCTTATAAACAAGGATGTTATGTTTGATGTTTTGATCTCTATCCTTATAAACAAGTTGGGGAATGTACAGAATCATCCACTGCTTGGCACATTTTTAAAAACTGCACATACTCGGTATCCATGTACACATCGACCAATTTTCACTTAAAAAAACTGGGTAGAGTAGACTTTAAGATATCCCTTGTATTATGGCGAAGTTGTTGTTTGATTTATCGCCAAGTTGCTGTTTCATTTATGGTAGCCTGAGTAGTTGAATGTTATGGAAACCCTATTGTGACGTAATTGGGTGCATGATTCTGGGAAATTTTGAATCATGGGATGTTTCGTAAGCGTTTTTGCGGTGTGTGTTGGTTTGATTCTTTAGATTGGTAGAATGGCCGAATGTCATTTAGTTAAGATTAATTTGAAGTTTCTGTGCCCTGTATGTAGGAAGGATATGCGTCTAGTCGAATATAAAAACCGTTTAGATGGATTTGAATGGGTTTGTAGGAAGAAAGGTTCAGATGGTCACTATGTGAAGCGTTTAATCAGAAAGAGTACCTGGTTTGAAAAAAGTCATTTGAGTATGATTGATATTTTGATTTTTACATGGCTCTGGGTGTACGAAGCGAACTTGAAAATCATGGTAAGTGAATATTTACTTTTGGTAGTTCTTAAATGTATAACATATTTTTCCTTTTTTATGTTATTTTATTGTTTGGTTTAAAATGTATTTTATTGAGATTATGTATTTTTTGTTTGCCTATATTGTAGAATTTGGTGCTCCTTTGACCTAAAGTGAAAATATATCAATGTGTACATGGACAAAGTGCGCAATGCAAATTTGTGCAATTCGAGGATTTTTTTTTTTTTTAAATGAAAATAGGTCAACGTGTACATGGATAAAGTCAAAGGAGTGCGCAATGCCATTTTTGTGCAATTCGGGGATTTTTTTTTAAGTGAAAATAAATTGATGTGTACATGGATACCGAGTTTGTGCAATTGTTTGTCCTGTCATTTTGGCTTTGTGTAGTGGTGAGTGCCAAAAATCGCCGCTTCACAAGCCAAAATAACGAGTCAAAGAATTGAACAAAATCGTCGCCAAGGGGTACCCTAAACTATACTTTTACCAAAAAAATCCCAGAATTGCACAAAAATGGCATTGCGCACTACCTGACTTAATCCATGTACACATCAACCATTTTCACATAAAAAATTAAAGAAAATTTACAAAAATCCAATTCTTCTTACTCTTGTAAAAAGCGCCAAACAAACAAGTGGGCGATTCTGCACTTTAGCCAACAAGTTTTATAGTTTTACCTTTTCACAGTTTTTCTGAGATGGCGATTCTGCATTTTAGCCAACAAGTTTTATAGTTTTACCTTCTCACAGTTTTTCTGAGATGGCGATTCTGCATTTTAGCCAACAAGTTTTATTTTGGCTTTGTGTTTGTTTTACCTTTTCACAGTCTTTCTGAGATCCAACTAAAGTAGATAAATAGTAAATAAGATTCAATAAACTCACTTTTTATCTCTACACAAAATTCTGCGTGGATTCCTCCACCGATATTTACTCAAATGACTGAAGAGCACCAAGCTTTCATTTATCGGAATTAAGATGATCGCTAACGCAGCAGATCGCACTACGGATTAAAATACTGCGCACAACTCATGTAAAGATCTAACTCGATTTAACTTGAAACACTACTTGGTCGAATACACATCGATCAGCGTGAAAAACTGCGTCATAAATGTTCTATACAGATTTCATAAACAATGCACTTAAAGATTCAAAGACAAAACTTACTACCTTTCTGTAGGGGAATTAAATTCCTCCTTGTAAGTTTGAAATAAGTATGTAGGGTATTTCTAGAAAAATAATGTAAAGACCGGCACACGCTAAATCGCATGGAGGCAGCCATATTTGTTTTGTATTGAAAGTTGTAGTTACAAAATTATACCATCATCTGTAGCTTCTGTAGCAATCTTGCTTTTGAGCAAGAATATAAGAGAAAATGTTGTGTTGTGGGACAAGAGTAATGTAAATTTTAAAAATAAAAAATTAAGGGATTCTCTTATTTTGGTAAGCTTTTTCTTCCCCATTACTTTATATATTCAAATATTTTCTATTATTAAATTATTTTAACTCCTCCAAGAAAGGTTCCAAAAATTGTTAATGATGCCAGGGTAATAGATGAAAATATTCAGAAACTACTTGAAACTGTGGTCGCACTTATTGAAAAAATTCAAAAAGCAAAATCTCCAGTCGAGAATAAAGCAGCGCAGAGACTAAATTGACTTCGCCGAAAATGAGAGTTAATCAGGTAACGAAGTACATAGCTTTTCCACCTCCTACACGAGCAATCATAGCCCAGTGGTAAAGAGCAGACTGGGTTTCCTCCGTTCATCGAGGTCGTAGGTTCGATCCCCCACCTTAATTTTGGACTTTCTGAACCTGAGAGAACTTTTTAATTTAGTTTCTCCATCACTAAATTCGAACTGCATGACTTAAAAGTCACGTTTTATTTTTTCGCCTACAGGTGGGGTGTTTATTGAATTTTAACGGCTTTTTATTTTTCGAATGGCCGTTGGCACGTGTTTTAGATCTACTGGTCAAAACAAAGTCACAAGTCACAAACTCAGTTTTCTGTTAATTGAATTTTGCGAAAGCAAATTACAGCCCAATTTAATACAATATTGCTAAATTTTACTCGCTGATTAACTGATAGAGTCATATGATCATAGTTTTCAAACTGTATTAATTATTTAATTATTCTGATATTAAGACACAATAACACGCCGAATAAATACTAATTCAGAAGTCAAACAACAAAAATCAGCGTTATATTTACAAAATTTTCACAGGACTAGTTTCGATGGTTTTACCGAACCACCATCCTCAGCTGCAAAACCGCCGCTGATTTTTGTTGTTTGACTTGTGAATTAATATTCTGATATTAGTTTTTTAATCTTCAATAAATATACTACTTAAGACTTTGCACCTTTATAATATTTCTTATTTGAAATTTTTGCACTGAAATTGCACTGTTGCTTTGTAATGTAGCAATCTTTATTCTTTATTACTACTTTTTACTCATACTGGTTTGATATTCATGACATTATTGTCTATTTATTCATTAATAAAGGTTTTGATTTAAAGCACAGTAGTTACTTTTTTTTTCTGAAACATGATTATTTTATTATTTAAAGATTTAAATGCACAAATATTGGGGGAAGGTTATTTCTTTCTTCCTCTTGAAAGGTCAATTAGTGTTGATTTCTCGAAGGAGAAAGCAACCTTGTTTTCAGCAGACCACCTAAGGATTTTCTTGAGAGTACCTAGTAAGAAGGAATCCCTGCTGTTCTTTCAAACAGTAACATGCACATAGATATCATTAGCATAAATGAAAAGCTTGGTACTCCTATCATTCAGTTTACAAAAATCCAACATGAAACAATTGTAGAGTAAACGCGATAAAATGGCTCCTTGTGGAAGGCCCTTGGATAGGAGCTTTTCTGTGGATAGGATAGATCTCCACTTTACAAAATAGTACGATTGATAATAAAATTGTAGATCCAACGCACCAGGGTAGTGTTCATGCCCATCTTTTCCAGCCTTTCAATCAAAATCTCATGTTGCACATTATCGTGTGCACCTTTGATATCTAAGCAAATTACGTAATTTTTCAGATTTTTGCTTCTGGCTGACCAGATAGACTCATAAATGTCTCATAAGGCAGTCAGTTACGCTATTGCTTTTTCTAAAGCCATAAATATTTGAATAAAAAAACATTTCCTGTGTCAGCCCACCACTCTAAGCGGCGCAGGATTATTTTTTCAAGAGTTTTCCCAATGACAGACGTTAAAGAAATTGGCCTGTAATTTGCAATCTGTCTCCCATTTTTATTGGGTTTTAAAATCGGAACGACCCAGGATGTTTTCCAGATTGTTGGAATATTACTTGATTGCAGACTTTCATTATACATCTCAAGAAGGGCATTCTAGAGTAGCGACCCTCAAACTTTTGTAAGTAATTTCATCGGGACCCGGGGAGGAGTTTTTCCTACTCCTTAGTGTGTACATTAATTCTTTGGAGGAAATTGGCTCAATTTTAGCCGAAGGAAAGTCGATAGGAGCCGACTGGGTAGTATTGTCATTGGCGCTGTAATATTCCACGAAAATATCCACCCGAACAGCCTTGTCTAATACATCTGCGTTGGAGTGTGTGATCACAAAATTTACCTCCAAGGAAGAGACCAATAGATATTTTTAAGGTTTTTTTACATTTTTAAAGACTTGCTTGCAAGAATTGGATTCAAAGGAAATCTTTGCCCAGTACTTACGTTCCCCCCCGGGGGTCGACGTAGAGAACTCTGCGAAGCTACTGGCTAGGATCTGTACCTAGGCAGTCTCGGCCACGGGGGTATAAAATTTATGAACTTGGTGGTTCTGAAGGTTCTGGGAAAGGTCACTCATTGGCCGGCCTCGGAGTCTGGCACGTCCTAGCGCGGCGTGGTGCTAGTAACCCGGGGGTTTTCCCCCGGGGTCGCTGGGTAATGTCCTGCTGCGACGGGCTCGCCCGAGCGACTGGCAGGAGCATTAGACGACCGGTGCTGCCTGGTGTCTTATCCAGGTGGTGCGCGGCTCTACTGGAGGGTAATAGTGGATGTTGAACCTCCACGACGTGCCCAAAGGTAGAGTCGACCTGTAGTGAGATTAAGTTACTCGGAGCAGGGCAGCCGAAAAGCTATAGTACTTACGTTTTGCTTTTATTAGCTCTCTTTTGTATTTAGCGTTTGCACCCTTATACTCCACCCAGTCGCTTGGATTGAGTGATCTTAGTGCCCTCCTTTTCAACTTATCTCTAAGATGTTTGAATTTGTCGCACTCCAAACTGAACCATGGGTTTTTTGGCTCGACCTTGTAGGTGATTTCTCTTGTGTATATCTTGATAGCGCTGTTAATTACAGAAGTATAAACATTAACTTTATCTTCCATATTACTAGCGTGGCTTACAGGCAAGCGTGACAGTGATAGATTGACATCTCGCCAATTTGTATAGCTTTTAATTTTTCCAGGTCTTTTCTTAAAGCTATGATTAAACTTAAGATACACAGGGAAATGATCACTTTGACCCGTATCAACAAGTCTCTGGACCGACAGCTTGGACGCGATATTGGCATTTGCCATACAAAGGTCGAGGATTCCTCCTTCTTGGCCAAGACAAATATGAGTAGATTTCTTATTATTTAGAATGATCATATTAGAGTCAATTAGCCAATTCATGAGCTTTTTACCGCTGGACGATGTAATACTATCTCCAAAATTTCTATGGCGGGCGTTAAGATCGCCAACCAAGATCGTGAAAGGATCCTTAAAGGAGTGTGTGTGTGTATGTGATTATGGTAAAGCCTCGAGGGCTGTCTGCCTAAAGGGCGGGATGCCTTCGTGGAGGACTTTCTAAGGGAAACTGGCTCGTATACACGTTACACTTGGGAAAAACCACGAAAACGCCTATACAGTCAGCCCGTTCGCGGGATTCGAACCTTGGACCGAACTACCAGTGTTCAGCGACTTTACCGCTCGGCCGCTGGTGGGCCTAGGATCCTTAAAGGAATCCAATATCATTGAGTCTTCTAGTTTAAATTTTTCGAAAGGCCTATAGCAATTTACAATGGTAAATGTTTTACCTTAAGCATGCACTTTGATACTTAAAACTTCCATGTCAGATTTAATTCCAGTATCTAGAAGTTTAGAAGCAGGTAGATTTTTTTAACACAAAAATGGCAAGACCACCGCCTTTACCGGGAAAAATTCTTTCCTTTAAAAAACTAATGTAGCCAGAAAGGAAAGGAACCCTAGGGTTCCTACTCCAGGTCTCCTGGAGACGCACAACAGAAGGTTTTAACAAAGAAACAAAAGAAGACAAGAAACTTAAATTCGTCTCGAAACCTCGACAATTCCAACTAATGATAAAACACATGAAATTAGAAAGTATCATCATCAATTCGAGGAATTTCCTCTTCTTGAAGCGTGTCTGGCTCATTATTCCAAGATATCAGAGGACTAGCCTGATGAATAGTATTCAAATTTAGATGTTCTGTTTGAAGGTTTTCATATGCAAGGCAGGTCTTTTCAAGATCCTCCTTGTATTTTTGGATCTGTTTCAGGGAGTTTTTATACAGGCTTCTAAGTTGTGTATTTTCAGTTTCAAGTTTGTTATTGACTTCCTTAAGATTTAAATTATCTACATAAAGAGAATCAATTTTCCGTTCGAGATTTTCTAATCTTGCGATTATCTTACTTAAAACATTTTCCCCTGGCTTCTCCGATACCGAGCCTTTAGTATTTATATTTGTGTGGGTGTTAGTAAAGTTTTATTCTTCCTCTTTCTGGACAGCTTCTGCCCAGGAAGTATAACTGGAAGTCTGGAGAGGTTTCTTCAATGAAGATTCATGCTTCTGACCGTTCACCTCCCTTATTTTGATATTTATTTTTGGGCAAGATTTGTCTAAAGCATTATGCTCACCTCCACATCAAAAGCAACTAGTATTACTTTTACATGGGTCGTTGCAGTCATTTTTACCACAGTTCTCACATCTCGCTTTGCTTTTGCAGAGTTTCGACTTGTGGCCTATATTGCAGCACTTGTAGCATATTATGTTATTTTCAATATATTTGTTTACCGCAAAATTTATTCGACCTATTTTGATATCAGACCGATTACTAGATCCAAGTTCCTTAATCAGAATTATTGGCACCTTTTCATCCGACCTTGGCTTAGTGAATCTTGTAATACATGAGAATTTAATTTCACTTTCTTCTAGGCCAGCTGCTATGTCTTCTAGACTAAGTTGAGTATCAACACTATTAACTACATGTTTAGGTACGTATCTTCAATTATTGAGGCCTTTACTCCGACACCTTCCAAGGATTTTAATTTACAGAC